GCACCCCCGTACCCACAGTGATGTCCCCCATGGCACCCCTGGTACCCACAGCGATGATGTCCCCCATGCCACCCCCATACCCACAGTGATGTCCCCCGTGGCACCCCTGGTACCCACAGCGATGATGTCCCCCGTGGCATCCCCGCACCCACAGTGATGTCCCCCATGGCACCCCTGGTACCGACAGCGCTGCCGCCCCACCGCACCCCGGCACCCACAGCGATGATGTCCCCCGTGGCACCCCCATACCCACAGCGATGCCCCCCCATGGCACCATCAGTACAGCAGGAGCTGCCCCCCCATGGCACCCCCGTACCCACAGTGATGTCCCCCGTGGCACCCCCGTACCCACAGCGCTGCCCCACGTGGCACCATTGGTGCCGCCAGCAATGCGCCCCATGGCACCCCTGGTACCGCTGGCACTGTCCCCCACCCTACGGCACCCCTGGTACCACGGGCACTGCCCCACGCGGCACCCCGAGTACTGCTGGTGCTGCCCCCCATGGCACCCCTGGTACCACAGGTGCTGCCCCCTGCCCCATGGCCCCCTGGTACCCCCGGCTCTGCCTCCCTCGGCACCCCTGGTACCACCGACACTGCCCTCCACCCCGCAGCACCCCCGGTACCGCCGTCGCTGCCCCCCATGGCACCCCCAGTACCACCAGCGCTGACCCCGTCCCATGGCCCACCCGGTACCACCATCACTGCCCCCCGGCCCATGGCCCCCCCAGTACCACTGGTTCTGCCCCCCGCCCCACAGCACCCCTGGTACCTCAGGGCTGCCCCATGGCCCCCGGGTACCCCTGGCGCTGCCCCCCACAGCACCCCCAGTACCGCAGGCACTGCCCCATGGCCCCCCCGGTACCACAGGCGCTGCCCCCCGCCCATGCCCGCCGTACCGCCGTGGCCGCCCCCGTGCCCGCCGTACCGCAGCGGCGCTCGTCGGAGCCGTCGGCGCAGTCGCGGCGCAGGTCGCAGCGCTTGGCCGCGGCCAGGCACTCGCTGGAGCCGCACCACAACTGCCTGGCGGAGCAGGCGGGGCGCCAGGCCGGGGGGGCGGCCCAGCCTGGGGGGCACGGAGCTCGCTGCAGCCCCGCGGGCGGGACCCCCGAGAGCCCCCCGAGAGCCCCCCAAAGCAACCCCAGGGCTCCCCACAGCACCTGGCTCCCCAGAGCACCCCCAGAGCACCCCTAGAGCATCCTGTGCCCCAGAGCACCCCCAGAGCACCCCCAGAGCACCCCTAGAGCATCCCTGTCCCCTAGAGCATCCCTAGAGCATCCCTGTCCCCCAGAGCACCCCTAGAGCATCCCTGTCCCCTAGAGCATCCCTAGAGCATCCCTGTCCCCCAGAGCACCCCTAGAGCATCCCTGTCTCCCAGAGCACCCCCAGAGCACCCCCAGAGCACCCCTAGAGCATCCTGTGCCCCAGAGCACCTCCAGAACATGCCCAGAGCACCCCTAGAGCATCCCTGTCTCCCAGAGCATCCCTAGAGCATCCCTGTCTCCCAGAGCACCCCCAGAACATGCCCAGAGCACCCCTAGAGCATCCCTGTCTCCCAGAGCACCCCTAGAGCATCCCTGGAGCACCCCTAGAGCATCCCTGTCCCCTAGAGCATCCCTGGAGCATCCTTGTCTCCCAGAGCACCCCTAGAGCATCCCCAGAGCACCCCCAGAGCATCCCTGTCCCCTAGAGCATCCCTAGAGCATCCCTGTCTCCCAGAGCATCCCTAGAGCATCCCTAGAGCACCCCTAGAGCATCCCTGTCCCCTAGAACATCCCTAGAGCATCCCTGTCCCCTAGAGCATCCCTAGAGCACCCCTAGAGCATCCCTGTCTCCCAGAGCACCCCTAGAGCATCCTGGTGCAAAACACTCCCCCTGGAACACGGTTGGGTCTGCACGGAGCATCCTGCCCCCCGGAGTATCCCCAGAGCACCCCGAGAACATCCCCAGAGCACCCATAGAGCATCCCCAGAGCATCCCAACCTCCCAGAGCATCCCTAGAGCACCCCTGGAGCATCCCTAGAGCACCCCAGTGCACAACACTCCCCTGGAACAGGGCTGGCTGTGCGTGGAGCATCCTGCCCCCCAGAGCATCCTCAGAGCACCCCTAGAGCATCCTGCCCCCCAGAGCACCCCTAGAGCACCCCTAGAGCACCCCTAGAGCACCCTTAGAGCACCCCTAGAGCACCCCTAGAGCACCCCCAGAGCATCCTGCCCCCCAGAGCACCCCCAGAGCACCCCTAGAGCACCCTCAGAGCACCCCCAGAGCATCCTGCCCCCCAGAGCACCCCTAGAGCATCCCTAGAGCATCCCTGGAGCATCCTGCCCCCCAGAGCACCCGTAGAGCATCCCTGGAGCATCCCCACGGCACTCCAGCCCCACAGCACTCCAGCCCCATGGCACTCCAGCCCCACGGCACTCCAGCCCCACAGCACTCCAGCCCCACAGCACTCCAGCCCCACAGCCCCCGGCCCACACCAAACAGGGGGGTTTCCCTGTGCCCCGTCTCATGCCTGGCCCTGCAGTTGCCCCCTAACCCGCTGCCCGCCCCCCAGCGCCCCGCTGCCTGCCCCCCTCACCCGCAGGTGTGTGTGGGGACCCCAGCGGAGCCCCCCGGGACGGAGGGGCCGTGGTCACCGTCACCGCGGCCACGTCGGGCACTGGGCGCCCCGTGGAGGGCCGGGGGGTCTCCAGCGTGGCGGGGAGGGCGACGCTGAGGCCGGGGCGCCCGGAGCCCCCCGGCGCCGCCGCGGGCAGCGCGGCCCGCGCTCGAGTCCGGGCTCGCGGCGAACGCCGCCCCCGTGCG